TCCGACATCTCACGGAACTTCTCCCAGGAATCAGCTTTGGCTTTCGTCACTGATTTCGCTGCCGCCTTGCGTGCCCCGATATATCGCACGCGAGTGTAATACTCTGTTTCTGAACTATTTCTTAAATGCTGCTTTCTTTTCTTTACCTGCCAGTTGTACTTCTAGCGTCCATCAGGAAATTCTTTTCTGATCTTCAGGCGACATGCGAACCGGTTTGAATCCCCAGCATTTGGCGGCAGCCTTGAGTAAGCCGCTCTTGAAAAACTCGGTTTCTACGCCAGCAGTCATCACTGGGATCTGTTAAAACCATCATGCGTTGTCGTCTGCAAGTTTTACTCTGAGATGTGCCGAATGAAATGCTTTGATTTGGTTTTCAGATTGCTCTTGCCATCGGATCGTCGCATGATACACCATTTCTTACAACTGACGTGCCAACAAGATGATGTTCGGTTGACAGGTAGGCGTCTCGCTTAACGTGAACATCTGTGACAGAGTGTCGCCAGTCAAAAAATATGATTATCAAATCGATCATCGACTTCTGTGCACAAGCTTCCCTGTACCACGTATATTGATGCACGCTTCGATGTTCGAAGGTGTTCATAGTGGGCAGTCCGTAGCTTGCACGAAACCGCATGACGTTATTGTGGAGGACCGTTCTTTCCAATCACGCCTTTGGATAGCCTATTTTAATATTTATCCATTATTATTATAGTATTAATACACGGTACGGTGGCATGCAAGATTTGGACTAGCTATTAGTCCACAGCAGCGTTTTGGCAACGTTTCCGTATTTGATCTGTGCATGCAGCGCTGTATCGAAATGACCTTTAGTGGTTCATGAGGGAACAAGATACTAAATGTTGACTTTAAGAAACTTAATTCCATCCTTGATAGTTCTTACCTGAATCGAACCTGCAATCACTGTGCTCCACTATGTCTCACGCGTTATATTCCAGGCCAAATATATACTAGCGATGTTGGTTCAGACTATCAACTGCTTAGACCTTGCCGGTTGTGTTGCGATTTATACTACGTCTTCCACGTGCCACAAATCTGTGACTAGCTTTCCTCTGAACCTCAAACCTTCTTTGAAACCTTCCAATGTTGGTCACATACGGCCTTCGCTGAATTTGTTAAATAGTAAGCGAATGCCATCATCCACTGACAGACAACAGCCTGCCACCAATACAGCAGCTTCCTGTCTGCTTGCTGCAACCGCTGGATAATGTACAGCAGAACGCCTATGTTTGACATGACGTCCAAAAGCTCATGTGGCAAACAGAGTCAACCACATTCGCCCTTGTTATTTTCATTCTTCCCAGCCTTAGAGAAAATAGGGATCAGGATACAGCAGGTAACAGTTTTCCACCGCTCTCTGCAATGCCTTTTTTGGGGCGCCCGAAATTTTCATTGCCTCCATGATACAACTCCATTTTTTCAAGTGTTTTCTCGCACCGTGTAATGGATTCTGCAGAAGAATCGCGAATGAGTGAAATTTTACTCACTGACGTTCGTGAAGAGATTCCATCCTATCTATGTTGACACTGTCTATCATTAATAACCGTCGTTCTTGCACATTCTATCCGAACCCAGAAGAGCAGTGAACTCGTGTTAGAAGAAGACGGACGGTCTCTTTCACGCCGAAATGGCAAGGCTCAAACTATTCAACGCTTTGGCATTGATGACGACACAATTATAATTCAATTCTGCATACCCGGCGACATCACGAGTGCTCAAGAGTTGCTGAAAAGGTCATGCAATAAAACGGATGGAAAAATTACCAAATGTTTCACAAATAG